TGCAGAGATAAAATAACACTTTTATCCCTCATTTTTTTATATTAATACTTCCTTAACTGGTATGAGAAAGATGTCCCATCTACTAAAGACTGAAAAGGTTTTTAGATACTGGTAGTTAAAGGATACTTTGAAAACATAACTATACAGTCAGAAAGAAATACTTCAGCACTTTTGTTAAAAGGTCAAATAGCTTTCATGATTTTTCACTCCTGGCAAACCAATCTAAATGCTTCCTTCACTGTTGGATAAATGTGTCTCTTGGGAAAAAGGAATGCTTGGTCAGAAATGCTAACAAGTTTCAGATTTTCATTTGTATTCAGACCACTTCCATATTTTCATGGTTTTCAGGTAAAAATATAAATAGATATAATTTGCTCCATTAGTTAGAATATTCTTTTCTACTTATATTTTGATTCATTCTTAGTGCCTCCTAATAATGTCACTGGTTTCAGAATGTGACTGATTTTAGTTTATAAAGAAAATGTTTATAAATGTAGTGAAGTTTTAGGTTTGCTTGCATGAAAGGTTATGTGTTTACTATGTGGTCGATATGAAATGTAAACCTGGCAATGAAATCACCCAAGCTATTTTAAGGTTTAATGGAAAGATCTAAAGAGCATGTTAGGTATGTGTATATGGAAAAATATTCAAGAAAAACAACACTAAATTTAAAAAGTAAACACACTAATACTAATTAAAATGGGTACTTCAAGTTGGAAAAATAAAAATCTCTATATCCAATTGGATCTAAGTTTAGAAAACAATTTAAAAAGTTTTTTGACCTGTTTCCAATTGAGAAAAAAGCAAGGCTTTTGTTGGTTTTAGTTTTTTTTTTTTAAGTAGCAGCCATCTCAGCAGTGCTGGAAGCGGTCACTTCTACCATTTCTCTGCCCAGTGGTGTGGATGGGGGTTCAGTGTTGGGATTAGTGTTTTGGGGCCTACTGGGACCGTACCCTGAGCTACTGGAAGGTACTGCATGCAGTGTTAGAAATTGAACTCAGGACATCATATGCTAAGCATGTGCTCTACATGTGAGCTATGTTCCTGGCTTCCAATGCTTTCTTACTGTACTGTTTCATTCAGCTGAGTTCTTTCATTCATTTGAGACAACAGCAAGTATGGATATTGCTTTGCTGTTATGGAAACTGACACATGCCTGATTGAATTGGAGAAATATAAATCTTATTCTAACATTATTAGAGTGATTTTTTTTTGAGTGTTAGCGGGGGAGGTATTCTTAGTAGGTGTGGGACACCTAGCACTATTCTCTGCCAACCAGGCAGTGGTCAGTGCAAGGGTCCAAGGATGTGATGCTGCTTAGACTCTGCGGTGCATGGGCCACCCTGGCCACCCCAGAGATACTGGAGCCTCAGGTACAGGATTGCACCTGGCAGTTCTCAAGGCACCATTTGGTGCTGGGAATCAAGCAGTTAAAGACAGCTAGGCCAGGATCCTAACCTTCTGGTCTCTGATTTCTTTAAGATAACTTTTTGTTTGTTTGTTTCATTGACAGAAGTTAGTCATCTTACAGTCAAATAGTCTGAGAATCAGAAAGTAAAAAGTTTGCCTTCCTGCCACTCAGAGATAACCAACTTTAGTATGTGCTATATGTTTTTTTTCGCATGGATGCACACTGATATTACACATGCATGTATATGTCAGTCTACTTGTGTGAAGTACAAAGATATGACATATCAAGCATTCCACTTAGTAAAAATTTTTACACACATTATTGTTTTTTTTTTCTTTTTGGGTCACACCCGGCAGTGCTCAGGGGTTACGCCTGGCTCATGCACTCAGGAATTACTCCTGTCAGTGCTCAGGGGACCATATGGGATGCTGGGAATTGAACCTGGGTCGGCTGCATGCAAAGTAGATGCCCTAACTGCTGTGCTATCTCTCCAGCCCAGTCCCACACATTATTTTCTAGATACCTGTTAAACGAAAATATATGCATGCATAATTCTCATTATTTTTGCATAGCATTGTATGATTTAAAGTATCATAAATGGGCTGGAGCGATAGCACAGTGGTAGGGCATTTGCCTTACAAGCGGCCAATGTGGCCGACCTGAGTTCGATTCCTCCGCCCCTCAAGGGACCTCAAAATGGCTCTACAGAGAATCAGAGTCCTAGCAGATGATTCCAAGAGGAACAATATTAGAATCATGGGACTACCTGAACCTCAGGGAAACAATCCCAATGAAAAAAACACCGTCAAACAAATCATTGCTGAAAACTTCCCAGAGCTGCACAATGCAGCCATTCAGGTTCAAGGAGCCCGAAGGGTGCCAGCTAAAAGAGACCCCAACAAAAATACTCCAAGACATATCATAGTTAGAATGATCGATTCCTCCGCCCCTCTCGGAGAGCCCGGCAAGCTACCGAGAGTATCTCACCCGCACGGCAGAGTCTGGCAAGCTACCCATAAGGTATTCAATATGCCAAACACAGCAGCAACAAGTTTCATGATGGAGACATTACTGGGCCCGCTCGAGCAAATTGATGAACAACAGGAGGACCGTGACCGTGAAATGTATTAAATACTATCCTTATTTATGGGCATTGAGACTATGCCCATAAGTAAGTATGCCTTTGAAATCAACGTAGCGCAAACGCTTTTTGCACTACATGTTTTCTGACCCATCAGGGAGATGCAAATCTAAATAACAATGAGATATCATCTCACACCACAGAGTCTGGCACACATCCAAAAGAACAAAACCAACCAGTGCTGGCATGGATGTGGGGAGAAAGAGACTCTTCTTTCTGTGTTGGTGGGAATGCCGACTGATCCAGCCTTTTTGGAAAACAATATGGGCATTCCTTCAAAAACTAGAAATTGAGCTTCCATATGTCTCTGCAATGCAACTTCTGGGAATATATAGCGAGGGTGCAAAAGAGCACAGTAGAAATCACATCTGCTCCTGTATGTTCATTGCAGCGCTGTTTACAATAGCCAGAATCTGGAAAAAACCTAAGTGTTCGAGAACAGACGACTGGTTAAAGAAACTTTGGTACCTCTACACAATGGAATATTATGTAGCTGTCAGGGAAGATGAAGTCATGAAATTTGCTTATAAGTGGATGGTCATGGAGAGTATCATGCTGAGTGAAATGAGTCAGAAAGATAGGGACAGACATAGAATGACTGCACTCATTTGTGGAATATAAAATAACATAATATGAGACTGACACCCAAGGACAGTAGACAAAAGGGCCAGGAATATTGCTCCATAGTTGGAAGCCTGCCTCATGAGCTAGGGGAGAAGGTAGTTTGAATAGAGAAGGGATCACTGAGTCAATGATGATTGGAGGAATCGTTCGGGAAGGGAGATGTGTGCTGAAAGTAGATAAAGGACCAAATGTGATAGCCTCTTAGTATCTATATTGCAAACCATAATTCCCAAAAGTAGAGAGAATATGGGGGAAATTTGTCTGCCATGGAGGCAGGGGAAGGCTTGGGAGATGGGGATACTGATGGTGGAAAATGTGCACTGGTGGAGGGATGAGTGTTCGATCATTGTATTTGTAATTGTATCTCATGGTAAATCAATAAAATATATGTAGAATTGCTGGAGAAAGGGAATATCCATGTTAAAAGTTGAGCTTCATAATATCAAATTGTCCTTAAACAAGTTGTGCCATTTTCACTCTTATACTAATGCCTTGTTGATAATTTTAGAACATAATAAACAATCATGAGTGCTGCTAATTTACTAAATCTTTGTACTGATAGTATTGAGGAAATGGGGTTCTGATTTCATTTTCCTTTTTCTAGTACAGTATTCAGAGATTCCCTGCAGCATTTGTTTGCCATGGGGAGTCAAACACTGACTTGACAAGCCATTGACTGAATGCTTACAACAGACCTAGGAAGGAATGACTTTTCCTACTCGCTAGGTAGCTAGGAAGCTCCAGGAGCTGGTCTTGAGGCCACGAACCAGATTTACTGGACAACTTTGTTTTCCCTGTGAACTTCCCCGTTAAGGCCATTACAAATAAAGCTTACTGCTTGTTATAAATATAATGTGAATTTAGTCATTGAGTTCAGAACTCAATGACCATCAAGAAAAGTTCCAATATTTAAATACTAATGGGCTTCTTTGCCTACTACTGGACTCTAGAGCAACCTGACCTGATTCTAGAAATAGAAGCTCTGGCGTTCTTAAATGCTTTCATGGTGGAGATTAGAGCAGAAGAGACATCCTCCATTCTTTAATGAGCAGTCTTCTCTTATTTCTCCTCTCTCTTTTCCTTTTTTAAAATCCTTTCCTCCTTCTCTTCTTCCCTCCTTCAATATCTCTCATAATGTTAAGGGCTTCATTTTTTAAAAATTTTGTTTGGGGACCACACTTGGGGTGCTCTCTGTGTTCAGGGATCACACCTGAAGGGCTGGGGAATCATATGCGGTGCTGATATTGAAGGGGGCATGCATAGCAGTACCTTACAAGCAGTACTGTGTCTCCAGAGATGCTCCCCCAAGAGTTATAAATGACATGCAGATTTTTAGATGGGATTTTGTGCAAGCCTGGTGGTGCTTAGGGTTATTCCTGGATCTGTGTTCAGGGTTAGCTCTCAGCACTGCTCTCAGGACTCCGTGGTGTTGGGTTCCAAGCCCAGCCTCCTGCTTGCAAATCACACGCTCAGCCCTATGAGCTATCTAGATATACCATTTCTAGTAAGTTCTATGTGTTTCGTTAGATTGAGTTAAGAATTATGATTCTGAACTCATAAATTCTAAATCTTTAGCACAGAACTTTGAGATGCTGGTGGATAAACTTAATTCACACATATGTGATCACTTTTGATCCTGTCTCCAAACTAATTTCCAAGTAGTTGCAACAATTCACAGTAGCTTCACCTTTTACAACAAGACAATTATAATCACAATTATTAGATTTTTTTACTTTGCACTTTGAAATACTTAAATACTGATCAATACCATTATGTTAATCAACAAATTTTCCCTTCTTAATATCTTTTCTTGTTTTCACACAGGCATTTTTACATCGAATGAACCAGTGTGCAGCATCAAAATTTGATAAAAATGTAACAGAAGAAACAGTAAAGGTGAGGAGGGGAAATCGGTCCTTGACCCAAACACAGATTTTCCTTAGATGCGATTCTGTTATTGGGAAGTTACTGAAGGTCTCCACCTTATTTTCAGTTCTACTATAAGAGCATGGAGTAGGGGCCAGAGAGATAGTGCACTGTTAAGATGCTTGCCGTTCATGTTGCTAGTCGGGGGTCAATCCCTGGCACCCAGTATGGTCTCCTGAGCCCTGCCAGGAGTCACCCCTGAACATAGATAGAGGCAGGATTTAATTCTGAGCCTTGCCAGGTATGACTCAAAAACTTTAAAAAGGAAATAAATCATGTGTTTGTCAGATGTGTGGGGAAAAAAACGGGGGTTAAGAACATGGCCTCGAAGACACAGAAATTGTTTTGTCAAGGTCTGGGAAATGTTTGAGAAGGGGGAAGATAGATAAATAAACTTAAGTCTAAGGACTTTATCATGTTTACGGGAGGGGAGCTGAGGTATGTATAAGATGATTTTTAGCATGACTCAGAAAGCAGACTGTGGATAGACACAACTTCAAATGTACTTAATTTCTTGAGGGAAAAAAAACTATTTGGATGACCCATTGGTGCAGGTTTCTGAGTATTTGAAACTAAGAAACAAATATTTGAGCATTTCCTTGAAATGAAATTTTAAGGAATAATTTGAAGTGAAATTTTAAGTGAAGAATTTGAGTAAGGGATCAAGAAAAGATGATACATTGAGATTAACTGTGTTATGTTCATCGAAGTTCTCTGTAGCATCATTAATATTTTGAATGCTGACTTGCTCTTGTGTTATACTGAGAGCAAAGCCCATGGTGCTTTAAGCTCTCTTTGATTCTCCCGATTCCCCATGTGTTAACTTAATTTTAAAATTCTCATTTCATAGAAATAGTTTTGCTTGTTTTTGTTTACAAACAAAAGGCCTCTATCACTGGAATTGGTTTGGAGGTATTCTGGCTCTCATAGTCAAGCTCCATACAGAAGAGAAGATTCAAGATTAATGGCGGGGAGGCCAATGTCTTTGCCAGATTCTCTCTGTAGCTCCAGCTTGGCTGTTCAAGCTGGATGCTTCCTCAGGACAGGCTCCTCCTATAGCTAAAAATGCCCCTGAATCTGTTCCAGCTCTCACTTCCAGACATTGAGCTTTCCAGTACGGAAAAGGGCTGTTCATTCTAGGGTGCCCTCCTGGGAGAAAAGAAACCAAAGAGCCCAGTGACAAACCTGATTGCACGGTTGTACTTGTAGTTCATTGTCTTTACTGGCATTTGCACATTGTGCTTGGATTTGGTCACTTAGGCTTTTCCTGAGCATCAGGAACAGGTTCTTGGTCCCCAGAGTGGAAAGCGGAGAGACTGTTCAATCTAGTTCAATGAACCTGCTTGCTGACTGGAAGAAAGGAATATATGTTTGAGAAAGAAAACTATACTTGCGGATTTCTTTCTTTCTCTTTCTCCTTCCTTTCTTTCTTTCCTTTCTTTCTTTCTTTCTTTCTTTCTTTCTTTCTTTCTTTCTTCCTTCCTTTCTTTCTTAAAAAAAAGAATCATTATGTCAGTTACTGACACATTTATTTATTTACAGATGCTGTTCTCAAATATTGAAGATATCCTTGCAGTACATAAGGAATTTTTAAAAGTTGTGGAAGAATGCTTATATCCAGAACCTAATGCTCAGCAAGAAGTGGGAACCTGCTTTCTTCACTTTGTAGGCTCAATTTCTGTTTATTTTGAAAGCTCCTTCCCCCTTAATGTTAAAGTTGAGATTTTGGCATAGTAGTATGTGTGAGTTAAGTGTCAGAAGTAAAAATCCAACAGTGAAAGTTTGGGGTCCTTTAAGGCCAATGAAATCTTCCACTTGGAGCCAGAACAGGGGCGAGTGCCTCACATCATCCATTTTATTCAGTGAAGAATAAACAGCCTTTTCTTTTCCCAACGAGTTAGTTCTTCGCATCCTCTGTAGCTTTGAATTTTAATGAATATTCAGGCTGTTCATAATGAATGGATTTTTATGTTTTTCTCAGACATAGAGCATTTCTCTTTTGAGACGGAAAACCCTAACTCTTATAATGGCGAACGTACCCTTTTATTGGGAATTTTCTCTTGCTAACCGACCTGTGACAAACTCAGGGGTGAATAAACCTGGCACTGCTAAGTACACATATGCCCACATCTGAAATTTTCTCAAAGGTGGTTCCTAAGAGGGTAGCTCTGAGAAGAGCATAAAACTTACATGTCAGACTTTGTTGTCTTAGATTAAACTTTGTGTGATTATTTTCATTTCTCTACATGTTTGATTAATTTCTGGAGGGATTGATCTTCAAAGTGAAAAAAGGTGCTTGTAGAGATTTCTGAGGACCTAATGGATCTGAGGGACACTCATACTGAAAATTAAAACCACAAAATTTAAAAAAAACCTTAATGTTGTATTTATAACACTTCACAGATGAATAATTTTCAGGGCATCAAATTCAATGCTTTTATCACAGTGCTATGTATTTTTTAATTTAAAAATATATGAGTTGGAAATTATAATTAAAACCAATTTCCGTGTAGCCTTTATAGAATTTCTCTGTGTAATTTCTAGGTCTATTTTTTTTAATGTAGCAAACAGATTCTGTATATGTTATTTTTATAATCTGTAAATATTTCATCGATAATGTGTTTAAAGGAGAAAGAAACTCCCTAGGTTTAGGAAGACCAGTCTGTTCATTTCTTGGGAATGACTGGAGGCCATGTGTGTTTGTGTCCACTTACCCCAGACGGTTTCATTTCTGGAAAGAATTAGAAAATTCTGCCAGCTGGAGTAGTTGCTGTCTCCATCCAGGTCTACACATGGGAATCTTGCCTGCTGACATCCATTTCCTCTGTCACACATTATGAATCTGTCATCCATTAATTTACCAAGCTATTTCTGGTTTATTTTAACCTAATTTATATTATCACTTGGATTAAGTAATTCGATAGGTTTCTATTGGCTCTGAAACATAGCACTATAAAAATTCTAAATCTGCCCCTGACATTTCTAAGGATATACCACAGTTATAATATGTGATAAATTGTTTGTCTTTCAAATATCCAACTGCTTTAAGAGATACAGATCATAACCCTTAGAGAAAAATCTTACAGATGGGAAAGAACTTAGAGTTAATATTGGTAAAATTCCTTTATTTTGAAAGCATCAATTTTCTATCTATTTTGAAGATTTTTGTGTGTGTCTCAGATATAATTGTCATGTCTATACCTATTGAAAATGAATCACAGAACTCTATCTGTGTCTATTTATGACCTGACACAAGCTTTTCTCTTGACCTTAAAATACTTTCTTCCATCTCCCTACCTGGGGACTCATGGAATAATCTCTTTCCCTTTGAAAGCTGTGGCTGAATCCTCCACACAGATGTAGGTACTCTCTTCTCTGCATTGCTATCAGTTTGGTTAATGTCGGTGTCAGTCATATTGAACAATAGTTTATACCGATCTCTTTTTTAGCTACTTTTCATGAATTTTGGAAAACAAAAACGATTTAACATATAGATATATTTTAGCTATTAGAACATAATAATAGTTTGTTTCTATACATCACATATGTTAACATTTCCAATGTCTAATAAAATGTAATTTAAATGTATTTGAATTCACAGAAAGACAAGTTCCGCATCTATGATGAATATTGTAGTAACCATGAGAAGGCACAAAAGTTGCTTTTTGAACTTAATAAAATAAGAACAATCCGGACATTTCTTTTGGTAAGTCTGTTTTATTAGTGTTCGCCTATGTGTTATTTTTGATATTTCCAGGGGAAAATGAAGGAATGGCACCAAAGTGATTAAAAAACTGGGGTGTGGGGGAGAACTTCTTAACACACCCAGCTAGGAAGCTGAAGTCCATTGATAAATGTAAGAAGAGAGAGCTGGGAGAAGCTGAGCTATGGGGAACACTGATAATGATCTCTTCCGTTGATTCTGGATTGTTTGTGTGAGACTCACGGGTTCCTAGTGAGGGAACACATCTATGCCAGAGTTCATTTTTACTTTGACGTCCCTCCCTCAGATCCCTAGGGTTTCCTTTCCTTCAGCTAAAAGAGCTATGTGGGGCAGGAAGGAAGCAAATCAAGGGTATGGTAGAAAGGGAATTCAAAGATTAACCTTTCCCCTACAAACAGTCCTTATTCAGTTTTCATGAAAAGGCAAAGAATGTATATTTAATTTCTCAAGGAAGTTGTAAATAAACATATTTTGGTAATCATACAATCCAGTCACCAGGGAGAATTACCTTGTAATTGCACTGTTTAGTGATGTTTAGCAAATCCCTGAGGTGAGCAACGAAATCTATGATCAAGTTTTAGGACTTTCCCATTATTCCCCAAATTCTTCACGCTTATTTAACCCACCCCCACACCCACAATTAACTCTAGGCAATACTGATTTGCTTTCTGTTTCTATACGTTTACATATTTTCTGGACATCTCAGATATATTATATGAAAGAATGAGGGTTTTTTTTTGGTGCCTATTTTACTGAGGAAAATATTTTTTTGAGCTTCCATCTTCGTAGTATATATCTATATTCTGTTGATTTTTAAAAAAAGGATTTAAAATGAGCTGTGGCTTACAATGTTATTAGTAATGGTTTCTCATCTGCATCATACCACACCCATTACCATTTTCATTTAATTTTATATTGTGGAAGGCCTTCGAAGCAATGTTTTAGATGATTGGAGCTCCCCCTGGCAATTCTTGGTCAGTTGAGCTGGGTTGTTCAGTGTGAGGGCCCAAGAATGTGATATTTCTTAGAACTTGCCATGCTAGAAATTACTCGGGTTGCCTTGGCAGAGCTAGGGCACCTTCAGGGCTACATCAAAACATATACCTTCACCTCTGTATTATCTCTCTGACCCTTCTCCTTTTTTTATATTGTTGACTGCTATTCTGTTGTCTGAGTATACTATATTTTTGCATCATACATATTTATAATTATAAAATATACTTTATTTTTAAAACATTAGGTCAATAAGTAACTATAATAATGACATGAGAGTCCTTTAATGCACATATGAGGAGTCATTTCAAAGTTGTTAGTTTAGAAAAGTCAGGAGATGTCCAGTTTAGGCTGTTATAAATACAGCTATGAACTTGCATGTTCAGATATCTGTATGGGTATACATTTTCAGTTTTTAGGGTAAATAATAACAGTAGAATTGTGCTAGAGATATAGCTCCATTGTCTCGAACACAGTTGATTTGTGTTCAGTCCCTGGCATTTCACATGGCCTCCAGAGCCCTGCCAGGAGTGATTCCTAAGCTCAGAACCAGGGAGAAGGTATGAGCACTGCTGGGTGTGGGCTGAAATCAAAACAGGTAAGAGTAGAATTGGCCAGAGAGATAGAATAGTGGGGAGGGCATTTGCTTTGCATATGGCTAAGCCATATTTGATCCCTGGCACCCCATAAATGTCCCCCAACTCAACCAGGAGTGATTACTGATTGCAGAGCCAGGTGTAAGCTCTGAGCATTGCAGGTATGCCAAAAATAAATAAAAGAGTAGAATTGTTGAGTATTTAAGTTACTGAGAAACTAGAAAAGCTACTAAGTCATATTCCATCAGCAATATGTAACAATTTCAATTGCAGTTTTTCTATATCTTTGCTAACACATTTAGTTCTGATGATAGCCATGCCAGGGAGTGTGTAGTTCTATCTCAACAATTTTTTTATTTGTATTTCCCTATTCATCAATGATATAGGCATACTCTCAAGTGATTCATGTATCTCTGGTGAAATATTTATTTTTCTATACTTAAAATAGGATGTTTATCTTATAGAGTATATACTACTTATAAATATTTCTAGTTTTAGATAAAAGTACTGTTTCAGACTTGTCATTTGAAAATAATCTCTCCCAATATGGTTTATCTGATCATTTCAAAGTATTGTCTTTTGAAAATTGAAAGTTTTAAATATGGTTGAAATCACCTTACTAATATTTCCCATTATTTTATTTTATATAAATATAAATTCATAATTTGTATTCATTTTGTTTTTTAGCCTAAGTACGTTGTACTTTATGACACTGTTGTGTTTGGAATTTTCTTGATTTTATTTTTGAATGATTCACTGCTACTTGTATAGAAATTTTACTCACTTGTATGTTAATCTTGAATGTTGTGATTTATGTTTCCACATCAGTTATAGTAGATACTTTAATATTTCCTCTTTAGAATTTTTACACATGGCATTATTTCATCCAAGCGTAAAGACAACTTTACCTCTTCCTTTTGAGCTTAGAAGTCATGTTTGCACAAGCTATAACTTTTAGTACTGTATTGAGTGCATGTGGTAGAAAGAAATATTCCTGTCATGTTTCTCATCTTGTGGGAAATCATTAAGCCTTTCATCATTCAGTATGGTGGTAGCAGCAGGTTCTTATGGGTAGATTTCATTAGGTTAAGTATGTTGCATTATTTTCTAATATAGTTGTGCAAAGCTTTGAATTTCACTCTTTATACTGCTTTAGTTGCATATTATAAACTTTGACATGTGGTTCCATTTCCATTCCATTTCACAAAAAGGTCTGGTTTCTTTGTAGTTTTATGGATCCACTGTTAGTTTTGAAATTTTTCTTGGACGACTTCAGGGACTCTTAAGTTTCTGTGCTTTTCTGAGTAGAAAGAATGACTCCTTTTGTCAAGACCTGTCTTTTAAAGAATAGTTGTACTGCAGGCAGCTTTAAAAGATAGAGTCTCTTCCTCAACAATGGTTAATGTGCCTGTTTCCATCAGAAAAAATTCATGGTTTCTAATCTCAAGTCTTCTGCCCTGTCTTACCTCTGTCACCTGGCCTTATTTGCCTTGTAATTTAAAATTGAAACTTGGGAAACTGGTTCTGAAATAATGTTACTCTACAGTGACAGAACAAAACTGTCCTAAATCCCTGTCATAGCAGTTTCATGGTTCTGTCAGCAGTCATAGAGCTAAGACAACTTTTTAGCTTGCAAGTAGGGTCAAGAATGACCACAGTCCTAGTTATTTGTAAATTTTATTTCCCTATATAGAATTTCTTTAATTCATGTTCCCTGCCTCCCTGTGGATTTCTTATTTATTTTCATTCTGCTTAGATAACAATCTTACATCACACACTTAAGTTGTTAAATCATTGTAAATTCATTAAATTTTATTTTGATTTATCATCATAAAACATCTGTTCTTATCATTCATTGTCATCTGTTCTGGAGACTGTTCCTGTGTGCTTAAAACTGTATATATTTTGTTGATGTTGCTAAGAGTTATACATTTTGATTGTTTTTGTTAATTGTGTTATGCTTTTGCAGTTTTTCCTCTTGATGTCTGTCAGTTATTAAGGGAAGAGAGTGAACTCCTTTTTTTTTCTTTTTGGGTCATACTTGGTGATGCACAGGGGTTACTCCTGGCTCTGCACTCAGAAATTACCTCTGGCGGTGCTCAGGGGACCATATGGGATGCTGGGAATCGAACCTGGGTTGGCCGCGTGTAAGGCAAACACCCTATCCTCTGTGCTATTGCTCCAGCCCAGAGAGTGAACTCTTCAGTGTAATTGTGTAAAGCTGTATTCCAGTGGTTTTCAAGCTTTCTTACAACTGCAGGCAGATTTAATATATGGATGGTGGTTGAAAACCACTACTCTGTTTTAGTTCTCTCAGTTTTTCATTTTTTTGTCTTTTGGAACAATGTTCTTACATGTTTCTGCACTAAAAATCATATTTAATTTATTGTAAACTGAACATTTAAAGTACTGTACTACATAGAAAGCATCATGCTAAGCAAAATGAGTCAGAGAGGGACAGCATTGAAAGATTGCATTCATCTGGGGAACATAAAGTAACAAAATAGGAGACTGACACCCAAGAATAGCCGAGATAAATGCCAGGAGGTTTACTCCATGGCTTGGAGGTCAGCCACACACTCTAGGGGTAAAGGCAGCTCAGATAGCGAAGGGAGGACCAAATAAAGGGTATGGGGAAGATCCGCCCAGGATGGGAGATGCATGCTGAAAGTAGACTATACACGGAACATGATTACCACTCAATGCCTCTTTCGCAAACCACAGCACCCAAAAGAAGAGAGAGAACAAAAGGGAGTGCCCTGCCACAGAGGCAGGGTAGGATGGGGGGAATGGGAGATGGGAGGGATACTAGGATTAGTGGTGGTGGAGAATGGGCACTGGTGGAGGGATGGGTACTTGATCATTGTATAACTGAAACCCAAGCACAAAAATTTGTAAGTCTACAACTGTACCTCATGGTGTTTCACTAATAAAAATTAAAAAATAAAGTACTGTGTTTCAGCATCTCTAAATTTAATAATTTTGCTTCCTAGTTTTATTACTGTTGTGTTTCATATACTTTTACTAGCTTTTCTAGACTAAGTCTCAGTACATGTGTCTTTTTATATGCACTTATGGATTTTCTAAAAATTTATCTTTATTTTTAGAGAGGACCCCTATGGCTGCTGACTTAGTGATCAGTTAGTGATTAAGTGATTGATCAAATATCATTATCCATCTTGTCTATGTTTGAGCATGGGTGAGGGAAACAAGAGCACGCAAATCAGATTTGAATTTTCTTCCCAATATTACCCTCTCAGGTCATCATTTTATCTGCAGAATCCAACCCTTCCCCTAGCAGTATTGTTATCCCAGCCTTATAGAGTTGTGGATTTTTTTATTTTCTTATTAGTTACACAGATTCTATTGACAACACTTCTGCGTAAGGGGTTTTTGTACTCAGCAATTCTGTCTGGTAAAAGACTTTTTGGACCATTCTACAGTGATGGGGCCACTGTGGAGTGAGACAAGGCAGGATAAAGAAGAACTGGGGATGAGAGGTAGAATAGGAAAAATCCAGGCAAATATGTCGCAGTTACTTACTGTTTTTATCTGAAATACAACAAAATTCATTTAAATAAATCCCTCAATTTATAATTTCATTTCAGTTGATTTTCAAGGCCCTGAATTTTATTTAACAAATCTGACCGGTTTTATAAGTTCTTTATGAAAGCTCTTATCTCTGCATTGACCAAAAGGTTTCATACTACTAAAGTTTTATGATATTGTTATAAAGTGTTAGGGCTTTTCTGTTTTATTAAATGCATTCTGCTCTCAGCAGAGGCGACTCAAGGTTCACCTTGGTGTAGTTTGTCAACTGAATTATGTGAGGCCACATTAAAAAAGTCGTAAGTTAGGAATGCTAGTCTTTTTGTTTGTAGTACTATTATTCTTTTGGAAGCCATGCACTCAGCCCATGAGCTCTCTCCCTGGTCTCAAGAATAATTTTCTTTTGATGATCTTTCCCCATAATCTGGCTCTGAATTGGACTTTTTGTTGTTGTTGTTGTTGTTGTTGTTGTTGTTGTTGTTGTTGTTTGTTTGTCTTTTTAACTATCCCTGACTGTCTTTAGGGTTTCTCTTGGCTGGAGATGGAACGGGGTGAGCTATGTAGAAGGCAAGCTCACTACTTACTCTATTTTTGTAACCTGATTGTAACAGGGCATCATGCTCTTTTTCTGTATTTTTAATTTGCCTTCTAATGTGAAGCCATGGTTTTGATTTGGCAGATTTAGGTACACAAGTTAGAACTAAAGCTGCTTTGCTCAAGAGAGAGGAAGGTTGTTCAGCAACAGTAACTCTTCCTTTTTTCCTACTTCTGCTCCATGGATGACCTGTTCTTAAATCAGGCACCATATATTTTTTAAATGGTGGAAGAAGGTGCTAAATTATCAGTTTGATATTCAAGGTGTCTTTGACTAGATTAGCACTGCACTGTAGCACTTTCCTCCTACTGTTCATCGATTTGCTCGAGTGGGCCCAGTAACGTCTCCATTGTGAGACTTGTTGTTACTGTTTTTGGCATAACAAATATGTCATGGGCAGCTTGCCAGGCTTTGCCGTGTGAGCGGGATACTCTCAGTGGCTTGCCAGGCTCTTTGAGAGGGGCGGAGAAATCGAAATTGGGTCGTTGGCGTGTAAGGCAGTTGCCCTACTCGCTGTTCTATTGCTCCAGCCCTTCACTAGATTAAAAACATTTTTTTTTGAGTGTCTGCGTGTGGGGGTCACAGTCAACGAAGCTTAGAGGTTACCTGGCTCTGTGCTCAGGATTCCCTTCTGGCAGTACTCTGGGCACCAAATGGGATGCCAGGAATTGGACCCTGGTCACTGCATGCAAGGCATATTCTCTGTCTACTGTAATATCACTCCAGCCCAAGACGTTTATTATACATTTATTCTCTACTATTTTGGTAGACACTACAGAAACTTTTTCACTAGTTTTAATTTTGTGGAATTCATGAACTTCCCAAGCTCAGAGACACAGGGGTCCCTCTAGCCAGTTTTATGTAATGGCTTGAGGACACAGCATGGTTAAAGGCTTGAGGATGCAGGGATTACTCCAGCTACCCAGGTCTACACTGGGAGTCTCTTGGACTGGGGACTGAGTCAGGGTTAGCTGCCTGGAAATCAATGTGTCTTAACCCCGATATTACCTCACCGAACCCATCAGTTTCTCTCTCTCTCTCCCTCTCTCTCTCCCCCCCCCTCTGTGTGTGTGTGTGTGTGTGTGTGTGTGTGTGTGTGTGTGTGTGTGTGTTTGTGCTTGCTTAAACTACAAAACACAGCCTAGCTTCATCATCAGAATTGGTTTTCTGTCAGTCATCACATTTTGGTTAATGGAAGCTGCTGATTCTTTGATTTCTACATTCCTCTTTCCTTTCTGGAAATCATATCCTTGAGAGTGGCTAACCTATGTCATTGGTAAAAGCTTGTTATTTTGGAGAGAGGAAAACTAGAATCCTGAAATCAATCCAAGATATATCACTAATCTGTGGGAGAAGATGGGTTAGAATTTAGCTGTTCTCTGTGTCTTGTCTTCTATAATACAATACTGCCTCCCTTTGTATGCAGACTCTATATGTATATCTGCACGTCTGTCATTATTATCTGTTTTTATTATCCATTAATTCATCCATCCATCCATCAATCTATCCATCCACTCTTTTGTTCCTAAAAGTATGTCTGTCATTTTCTCTGGAGAGCACATTTATATTAATTTTTAAGTAATAGATTGAATTTTTTTGTTTCTTTAGCTCATGTAAAAATAAGGCATTTCTTCTTTTCCTACAAATTGTTTTTCTAAGAGAAGAAAATTTTTTTCACAGTATTTTAGCATAAAATTTTATGATAATTCACAGCATCATATTTTTAAAATTTTAATTAAGTATGTTTATTTCCATTTCAGAACTGTATGCTTCTTGGAGGACGGAAGAACACAGATGTTCCCCTGGAAGGATATTTAGTAACACCTATACAAAGAATATGCAAGTACCCTCTCCTTCTGAAGGTACTCTTCGTGTTTATTGTATTGTAGCATTTTCCTAGTTCCAACATTTACTATAGGTATTTAATTTGTTTTCTTTATATAGTACAACATTCTAAAAAAAAGCTAGATTATGGTCACTGGGAAAATATGGCTAGTTTTGCACACTTTTATATATCTGGTAGGAAAAAAATCTCTTTTGGGCAAGAGATCTTTAAAGCTCTTTGTAGAAAATATGCTTGTTTTATTTCATTTACAAATTTTCAAATAGATCTCATTTAGTACATTTGGTTTGTGTATGTAATACATTATTTATAGGTTTCTTTACCTTAAGTAAACTGATTGTTTGACTCTTTTTATTTTGCCCCCCCCCATATTGTTGGCTGCATAATAGTAATATAGTTAAGGCAAAAGTTAAATAATTTCAGAGACTGGATTTAAAGTCTTTATTACAGGGGAATGGTATGAATCACATAGGACAATAACCGTTAGACAGTGAAATGACAGTGTTACATAAACACTGTCAGTAGAAAATTGCTCCTTTAATGGTTGTAGTTTCATTGCTTCATTACAGTTTCATTGCTTCATTACAGTGGCCAAAATCTTTATTATGAAAAGCATGTATTAACTTCTGCCTTAACTGCAAAGGATTTCTAAGTAGATTAGAATAGCAATTATTGAAACCATGATTTTGGAACTATATAACCATCAGTTTTTTAGTGTTGGCTAAGCATATAAGCTCTGAATTCAAATTATGAGTATTATTGCCATCTGTTTGTGAGTTTCGTAATCTTATCACTTAAAAACTTGTGTTTTCATATATGAAATGGGAATGATTATAATGATGGAATTATAGCACAGCCCTATAAAATTATATGTGCATGTATATATACACATATACAAAATGACATTATAATTGAATTACTTATACAAACAACTTTGGATAGTATATCTTCAGAAATATTGGCTATTTTTTACTAGTATATTTCATGATGCTGTATTTATAGTATTAATTACTACTTGTCTCTAGTTTTAAAAATACATAGAAATACTATGGACATGTTAACTGATGTTGTTATTGATTTATTTCTTTAGGAAATTTAAGTATATATTTGAATTAAAGCTACAACTAATTTGCATAAATTTGGTTTCTGTGTAAAATTTCTCCTTATTAAAATGCAAGTTAAAGTTGCTTGATAAGCCTTAACAAACAAGGAGAGAAGATAGTACTATTTTCTCTATTTCTGTAGTGCGCAAGGATACTGCACAAATGCGACTCCTGTTTTCCCCGGCATCTTTTCAATCTCTACATTGATGGCTCAGAATTGCTCAGAATTGTAATCATCTCTGCAGCTATTCCTGGTTCTAATTTTTTAGCGGGGAGCGGTTAATTTGGACTATATCCAGTCATTTTCAGGGTTTAACTCTTGGCTCTTTGCTCAGGGATCACTTCTGGTGGTGCTGCAGGGGCCATAGGCAGTGCTGGAGATTGAACTAATGTCGGATACATGCCAACCTTAAACTCTATTCTGTCTCTCCACCCATGATTCCGATATTCCGATGTTGCAATCCCAGGGACATGTTTGTCCTAAGAGTCAGAGGAAATAGTGATATTCAGAATCATGGCCGTGGATCTAAACCCCTCATTTATGACTAGGGTTGGTCTCATGTATCTGAGCTGACCTTGTAAAAGAGAGAATTGTGTGTATATATTATTGCTTAGGAATAACCCATAGATATAAATAATTAACAAATAATTTATAGCGGGCTCTAAGCAGTGGAGAGATCTTATCTAGTACCTCTTATGGGGGAAAGATTATTTTTTAAAGAAAATGGGGATGGAAAAAAGGGTATGGGCACTTGCCTTGCAGGTGGCCAACCCAGGTTTGATCCCTGGAACTCTGTACATTTTTCTGAGTCTCTTCAGGAGTGATTTCTAAGCTCAGAGCCAGGAGTAAACCTTGAGCACCAACAGGTATGGCTCAAAATGATCCAGATTCAAGTTTCAATTTATCTAGTAGCCTTTGGACACAATTAAATAGGGTCTCATAATATGGCCTGCAGGTTGACTTTACTACTTCACATAATTTACAAATTGTTTCTGGATCCTATTTACCTTTTTATGGATTTGTGATCCAGCTTAGCCCTCCCCCCAACACACATACTTTTTTTTAAATTGAATCACCGTTGAGATAGAGCATTACAAAACTGTTCATGATTGAGTTTCAGTCATACTGTGTTCCAACACCCATCCCTCCACCAGTGTAATTTCCCATCACCGGTGTCTCCAGTTCCCCCCAACATTCACCAGCCCAGCATACTTCTATGGCAGGCACCTCTCTTCCCTTTAAATCTTGTCTTGGGAGTGTGTAATATGTATTCATTTGGTGCTCACGTTGCTGAATAGAGTGCAGCATATTGAATGGCAGCGTCCAAGTTTATGGCAGAATTTTCAGAAAAAGCAGAATTCAAAGACAGTTAACCCCATTGCATGTTAAGAATTGAGACAATTCTTTTAAGACTTGCCTGAGGATTTTCATAATTGTGTTGGTTACACGATGATGGCAACTGTAGTAAGGAAACAAATGACTAATTAAAAAGCAATGTGGTCACAACTGTCTAGACAGTGGGTGAAAATGTTTAATTTTGTGCTTCTAAAGAACTAACAAGATCTTTAATATATTTGAACGATTAAAGATTACTCTAGGTCTGATCATCTGAATAGAACAATATATGAAATAACTGAAAATCCCAAACAAAGTCTTGCCACAAAGAAAGCTATTGGGATCTGTGTGATAGTTCACTAGTCATGGAATAAATTCAAGTTCTTCACAAAACTGTAGATTGTTCCTTTAATGACTGATGCAGAATTTATAAATTATATATTTTTCTAACATTGAAGATATTAAAAAAATTTGCTTTACTTGCACATTGATAGTTTCCCAAGCATTAAAATTGGCTTTAAATTTATTTGAATTCATAGAAATATTTACTTTAAGTTTTTTTATTCTGCTAAATTTTAGGAAAATAAAGTTAGCATGTAAAGATAGATTACTGATGAAGCAAAACTTGTAGTTAAAAAAACTTAGGTGCTGCATTTGGGAAATTTGACAATTTGAAGGAAGGAATCGAGTTCAGTTTATAATGAGATATTTTAATGGACTAAAGTGCCTGCTTTGTGTGCAGAAGCTCTGGATCTGATTCCTAGCACCATATGGGTTCCCCTGAATTGCTAGGAGTGACCCTCAAGCACTGAGCCAGAAATAGCCCTCAGCAATGCTGGGTGTGGTTCCCAAATCTACACACACACACACACACACACACAGACACTTCAAATTTTTGTGGGAAAAACTAAAGTAACTGCAAAATGTGTATGGGGTAATGCTGTTTGATTCAGCCTTTGTTTTTTCTTTTAATCTTAGTGTAGTTTGTGATATCACTTCTGAAACTGGCTCTCACGATCTTTGCAGTTTTCATTTCCTGGTCTGTCTGAACCTGCTGTACCAGAAATCTGAAGATCAAAGGGTGATTTGTTTATTTGTGTATAAACAGGAGTTGCTGAAGCGGACTCCAAGGAAACACAGTGACTATGCAGCGGTGATGGAAGCCCTCCAAGCCATGAAAGCTGTCTGCTCCAACATCAATGAGGCCAAGAGACAGATGGAGAAGCTGGAAGTTTTAGAGGAATGGCAGTCTCACATTGAAGGCTGGGAGGTACAGGCCCTGCATTCAGCAACCAAGCTTAAAACAGTTTTGTGATACCTTATGCCATGTGTAGAAGCATTGATATTGGGTAGATATGTAAACAGCCGCTTCCTAGAGAGTGATGCCAACTGATCACCATTTTTAAAAACTATCAATATTATTTTAAAATATCTTCAGTGACCAGGGAGAATGCTCAAGGGTTTTGTGGATATGCTTGGGAGGCCTGGGTTTAATCCTAGCTACTCCACAGTCTGAGTCTGAGTTTTTCAGTAATACCGTAGGCTCCTACACTGGGTGTAGCCTCTGAGCACTCCTAACTATGTCCAAAAGCATATCAAGAAAGCAAACAAAGTAACTCCTAAGTGGAAGTTAATTGAATTGACCTCATCCCCATAGGTTTGTGAGAGAGAATCAGTTGATACTAGGTCAAGGTGCAAACTTTTGTACTTCGGTCTTTGTGCATCACAATGAACCTTTAACCTGGCTTTGTTCAGTAGCTATAGAGCTGGGATCTTATGTCAGTATAGAAGGACCTCATTGTGGATTATGGCACTGTTATTCTCATATTCTCTATAGTGTGTGTCTCATGATAAGCTGCATTTTAGGTCTATTTAATCTCATTAAATTTGCGTTTCTCCATTTGTAAGATGAGGGAGCTAGTTATGAAATGGTTTTTGAAGGTCCATTAAAGATGAAAAATTTTATAGCTTCACGGATTTATAGGATTCATTAGAAATATTTTTTAAATGGCAAGCAAATATTCAGATTCTCTAATGTCTTTGAAGTGGACACAGCTGAATCCCAGTTATTTGGTTATATTATTTAGTACTTTCCAAAGAATAAATTAAAATTCTTTCAGTTGCCTTAACTTGACCATGAGATTGTTATTGGGAAAGATTTTTTTTTTTTTTGGTGGCAGGGTGATATAAGTGAGCAATTTAGAAAGTACTTTTAAAGTTTCAAGAATATTTAAAATGTTTCAAGTCAAATGTTATATCACACAAATCCAGGTGGATTGCTTTTATCATTAGGACTTTATAACTGATTAATATGTCTATATTTAAAATGATGGTTTCCATTTCAGTCTAAAATTTTAGCTATTCAGCTTTGCAAAGAAACCTCACACATTGACCTCAGGGAATTTTCCTATTTATTTGGTCTTCTCTGCGCATCCCTTCAGACGCTGAGTGGGGTCTGACTTAACTTCCTCTTCTTCTGTATTCTTCCATTTCAAGTGTCCAGAGTGACCTCCCATTGCAGCATGAATGCTACTCATTTCAATCAGCTAAAATAGTTGTGTATTTTACAGTTGATTCATGATTATAATTCCTTTTCTGGGGAATAGTTGCCCTGCTGAGATAAGAAAAATGAACTGAAAGTTGCTTTTGCTTTTCTTTTTTTGTTGCCACTCAGAGGGTGGAAGAAAAACTGAGCTTGTTTTAAATTTCAGGATTTGTCAGTGTCATCTGCCAGGCCTTTTACCAAAACAAAAACTTTATAGATTCTTCTCAACACTCTAGGGAATTGCTCATAATTTTTGCTTCCTCCTCGTATGTGTACCAAAATTTTAATCTGCTGAGGAATAACAGATTTTTTAAGCAATAGACATTTCTTGCATAATATACCCCAGTACTCAAAATTAGAATGTCTGTGGGCCATATTCACTTGTGGGAAGCCCATAATTACCTTCTATAATGTAGATTGTGACCCCCCCTCCAGATGGGGTTGCAGAATTGACTATTCAGATAATGAAATATTTGTGAGTAGTCAAAAATTTCTGAGTGAGCAGGTGAAAAAGTAATTAAAAATTAAATGCATAGGGAAACGGAGGTGTTTCCATTTCCACTTGCCCATGTTGCAGTGCCCCTGGTGCAAAGGGATCACTGGTGGAAGCAGTTTAAACTAGCTCAAGCCTTGGTCCATGCACAGCACTTGGAGGGCAGGAGAGAAATGCAGCATTGAGATGGAGGAAAATGGCTGGAGGATGTTAGCTATGACTTCTGGCACAGAGGAGTGGAAAGGTAAATGGAAACAAGTGAGCAGGGTTTGAAAGGGATGTAAGATTCAGCCATTCAGTGATTAGGAAGTTTGGGGGTCTTTGAGAGAATGAAGCTTGGAAACTGGGCCCAACTTGTTGGTTGGCAACATCAGAAGAACCATATTCCTTATATCAACTGACAACCTCTGAGAGAAGGAAAAAGTTGTGATAGCCCTCAGGCCTGGGGCCCTTTTTAAAGTTTAGGAAGACCTGAGAGTTTGATGGGATTCATAAGATAGAAGGACAAAGGGACCCAGAGTTAACACACGATGGTTTCCGGCTTGGCTGAGAGTGGGGATGGCTAACTCTCTTGAATTGCTAACAGGAATTATTGCTATGGCTACTGAAAGTTTTGTGTCTGTTTAGATTGGCTATCAGGAAGTTAGGACAAGGCCAAGGACAGATGTCAGATAGTCTGACAGTTTTAGAATGTAGAGTTCCTTAAAGAGTTTTTGAGGTTAGGAGCTTTGAACTAATGACAGGAAATAGTTCCCTTCCTCACCCCATCCACAAGTTCCTTCGAACCTTTAAGGGCCATCTTAAGGATTACATTCTTGCTTTAATAAATACAATTTTCTTGAAAGAAATATGAATCTAATGCATTGTGAGTTTGTATTATATATAATTGAAATGACTTATTAACTCAAGTAAAGTATCTCAGTTATCCAGGGTCTTACTTTCCTATTAATTAAATGAAAAATTTTTAATAGTAAAACCTGGTAACTTGCCTGTCTCATTATTTTGTGGTTCCAAATTATCTTTGTGTTCCTTTATGTTGAATTTTGGCAAACAAGTAACGGAAATTCATCCCTCCTAAATTTTAAGATATAGAGAAAAAATATGGTTTTTGAGCAGGTTTGATTTCTAACCTAAATTCTTATTCTTAGGTTTGGGATAATACCTTCAACTTTTCTATATGCATTGTGAACCCTAACTGGGAGCAAATAAAATAAATAAAAGTGATTTTAGTATTGTGACATGTTATACAAATGGGAGAGAATATTTAAATCTTATCTTTGACTCACAGTTGGATATTCCTTTTGATACATTCATTTCTTTCATTTTGTATATCTACATCTGCTTAAGACATTTCAGTATTTAAGGTTATATGATTTCAAAGAATAGAAACTAAAAATAGATTAATTTTAAAGATACTGGGTATTTTACAGAATAAGTCAAGAAACTGCAGAGGCAAACTTCAGAAGGGTATCAGGCAGCTAAGCCTGGTTGACAATCTCCTGAGTGGCTTAGGTGCAATCAATGGATGGGCTCTAATATTTTTTTCATCCTTATATTATTTAATTAAAGGTTCAAGATAAAAATTCCAGATTCTGCTAATCTTGCTGGTGTAAATTTGCCTAGAGGAGGGTAGAGGTCCTTGTGTGCCAATGATTTGGTTTGCTTTTGAGAAAATGGAGATTCACATTGTACTTGGATCTATCTCAACACCTGTTTGCTGACCTAATTAAAATTCCCATCATGCAGGTTTAAAATAACAGGTAGCAGATATAGATTTTAAAACAGACAGTAATTCTCAAGCTCTATCTGATAGTATTATACTCAGTAAGATGCAGTGATTTCTTCAAGTTATTTTTCTTGCCTTCCCTTTAAAGTAAGTTGATTATAGAAATTAGGTTTTTTGTGATTGCCATCACAGAAAGTAGTGCATGTAGCTTAGTTGTTCAATTTTTAAGTCCTGCCTTTTATCAGTATAATTTATTGTATCTCAGTCATATACCTTACTCAGCACTCAGATTATTCCATCAGATGTTCTCCTAAAGGTAATTGTAAGGCAGTGATCCATGAGCCTTGGAAAGGTAGGTTATTAACTGTTTAATCAGAGTCTCACACTAACTTCCTAGCACAATTACTAGCTTCAGTTTTAGTCTGTCTTTTGGTTGATGGATTGTATTGTAATGACAGTTGTAACCTTTGTAGTTATACTGAATATACTGATAAGGAATTATCAATAAACCTGCCATTTAGCAATTCATCTTATCTTCTTGATAAGTATACTTAGAAATAATTTCTTAAATCTGGAAAAAATCACAGTGAGGGGTTGAAAAGGGAATATTAATCATATAAAGGAAAAATAAGACTCAGGGGAAATACTATGAAAGTTAAAAAGAAAAAGTACATTCTTGATTAGTTTTATTGTATGGAGAAATAGAATGGTATCAGATCATTTTACATTCACTGCTTTTTAACTTTGCAATCTTTTTGCTGCTTCTATTTGATTAAGATTGTGCCTCGCAATGTATTGATAGGCTCTCTTGTTATTTCATGATCCTGAGGTTTATAGGGATGCTGATAAAAACTTTTCTTTTTGTTATCTCTACTGATTTGGTAGATACAAATTTGCCTACTACCTGAGATAGAGTTGTTTGATGGATAAACTTTATTATTTTAGGACAAGTGGTTTTTGAATGATGCTCATTGAAACAGAATGCACTTAAAAAGGGGTCTGAAATTTTCATAAGTGCGTGAGAGAGAAAGTTTGGTTGGACTTAGTAAATTGAACCTTCATATTGCTAGTTTATTTTATCTAATACATTAATCAAATTTAGGTTATAATTTCAGTGTTTTTTAACCAGAAAAGAGTGAAACAGGGACTAGGGATGTTCCTCAGTTGTAAAGTTCACATGCATTGCATATGTGAGTCCCGGGGTTTAATTCCCAGTGCCTACGGGTGAGGGAGATCCCTGGACTGAGTGGTTTGTGGGGTATAGTGGTAGTGGTGGGTACTAATTCATGACAGAATATATAATCAAACATAGTAGTAGTGTGAATTTTTGTGATTGAATTTTATAGTATTTTAAAGATATTTTTAAAGTATATTCAAAGGCATCTTTTTTTCCCAAGAGATTCCTTTGATATTGAGAGCAATCTTTTATGAAATGCCTATGTACTTTTCAGTTTTCCTTTTTTCTCTGTGACTGGAAGAGCTCTGTTAGATCTTCCTTTATCAAGG